CTCTCTAGGCTGTGAGGACCCCAAGGCGGGGCAGCCTTACCCTGTTGGCCTCCTTCCCCAAATAGCCCCTTCTCTGGCCTAGTTTCTGAATGTGGCCTCCAGTGTGCTCTAAAGCAGTGCTTCACAAACGAATGCGCTCATCATTCACTCTTGTGAAATGCAGGTTCTGATTCAGTACATCCAGAACTAGGTCCAAGACTGCATTTCTAACAATCTCTCAGATGATACTGCTGCTTCTGGTCAGTGGATCAAACTTTGAGTAGCAAGAGTCTAAATAGATCTGCGGTGGCTTCTGGATCCTAGATGTCCAGATGCTAAATAACCACAACAGATGTTTACATGGTGCTTACCATGTGCCAGGCATTGTTCTAACACACACACACACACACACACACACACACACACACATATATTACATTTAACCCTCATGATAACTTAATGCAGTAGAATGATTAATCACTCCATTTTTCAGAAGAGAAAACTGAAGCATAAAGAAGTTAAGTTGCCCCAGGTGACCCATGTAAGAGCTGAAATTTGATCACAGGAGGTCTGGCTCCAGAGTCTGCTCTGAGCTGCTGCATTAGTCGGCTCTCTAGGTAGTTTTGTGTATTTGTTTTCAGTACTCTGGTTGGGTTTCCGCTGCTTCCACCAGGGTTCTCTGAGTAAGCTCTAGCAAGCTCCGTTTGTCGGTTCCTCTTGAAAGTGCCTCTCGCTGGCTATTGTGTATGAATAGTTTTACATTTTCCTGTCCAGGGGATTTTTCTGTTTTCGAATGTCAAGGAGGCTGACCTTTTCAGCTCCCAACTTCCCAAGTCCCACCAATTCTGTTTCTAGCAGACCAACGCTAAGCAGCTCCGCCTGGTACAGCTCCCTTCGAGATGCAGCTCCTTCCTCAGCCCAGCCTTCTGCCCACCTCCATCTAGCAGGTGCTTCCTGCCTCACCTCTCCACTCACCACCTTCCCCACCACCTGCGGTCGGACCCCCTGAGCTCAGCATCTCTTTGTAAGGCTGCCTCCTTCCCTGGGCATTCCCAGAGGTATCTACTCAATGCCCTCAGCGAGAAGCTGGCACCCTGGTGAGCATTTCCCCAGGTGGGTGTACGAATCAGATCTGCAAATCAGGGTTGGGGAGGACCTAGACATCTCCATGCTGAACGAGCGCCCCAGGTAATTTGGTAAGTTTTGATGTGCAAAAACCTCTGGGCCAAGTGTGACCCTTTGAAATACCAGGGTCAGATCTTGCTTGGGGGGCGGGGGACAACTGCCACTCAATCTTTGATGGCCCTAACAGGAAGGGGAAGATCTCGCCTGTGAGCTCCTCTGGGCCTCTCTTCCTCCCTGATGACTCACTCACCACACACACACACACACACACACACGCACACACACACACGCACATTCCATCAGCACAAATGGTGCAGACCTGGGTTCACCCTATGCTTTTCTGCTTGGGGCAGTGCAGGGGCCCCTGGATGCCCCCCTAGAGCTCAGCCCCTTTCATATCAGGCAATCTCTGCTCTCCTGGGCTCTTGTCAAGGGTCTTTGTAGAGCCAGACAATCCCTGCTACTCGACCTCCGCCTTCCCCCCCACCCCCGCCCTAGCACCCGCACCCCACCCTGCTGTGGTCAGGCCATGCAAATATCAGAAATGGCACTGGGATGGAGCAAGATTTAGTCAAAGCGTTAGCAGGGATTGGGTGGGGAGGGAGTGGGGAGAGCTCGGAGATGGCCCAGTCAGCACAGGTGAGCTCCCAGCCTGGGGAAAAGAATCTCAGGGGCCCCACTTGGGGCTGGAAAAAAGCAGCATCTGGACCAGCAAAAAGCCACTGATGGCCATCAATACTCTCTCCTTCTTATACTGAGCACTTATAGAGCACCTTCTGCCTAGGCAGCACCTACAGCCTATGCCAGGCAGTAGGGACTATAGAATACACAGATGATATGGCCTACCCTCAAGGAGCTCACTGTCTAATAGCAAGACAGAGATGGATACAGAAATCGTTATAAACCAAAGCAAAAGATATAAGTGACATGATAGAGGCAAGCTATGTGCCATAGGGATTTAACACAGAGAATAATGGCTCCAAGCTGGGGGGTCAGAGAAAGCTTTGTTTGAGCGGGTCTCAAAGGACGGGGAGGGTTTTGACAAGTAAAGAAAGAGATAGGGTGGAGGCAGACCATCTCAAGGAGGAGACAGCAAGAACAAAAGCAAAGAGTTGGGAAAGGGGCAGTCATGTTTCATTTATTCACTCAACACATATTGAGGGAATGCCTAGAGAGCCAGACAGCAGGACAGACACAGGCCTATCTTAATGGAGCTTCCAGTCTGGAGGGGAGATAAGACATGAGCTGGTGAACAACCAACCAGATGGAGGGGTGCACAGTCCAGCTTAGCTAAAGTAAAGGACCTTGGCCAGAGGGCTTAGGAGCCCACTCCAGGCGAGTTTCACCAAGAGATGCTCTCTGAACCCCATATCCAGTGACCCATTCTTGGGATCTTCTGCCCTTGGTGGCCCTTAAATGTATCCCCATCCGCTTTAGCCCTAAATGATATGATTTCAGACCCCAAACCCTCTTTACCATTGTCCACACCATCATTTGTGCACATCGTGTGAGAGAGAGAGAGAGATGCCTAGAGCAGTGTATGACACCCACCTGGGAGAGAGGGACACGGGAAAGCAGCCATCGCGAGTGCCCAAGCTCGTTCTCCAAGACTCATCCAACTTTGGGTGATGGCCTTCCCGACCCCACCCTTCACACAGGGCCTCTCTTCTGAGGGACACAGTGGCCAGCTGGGCAAGGCAGAAATATACTAGCAGTGTAGACTTTCTCTTTATAAATCCTCTGTCTTGCACAGCCTGCTCAGCTGCAGGTCTACTTGAGGAGGGGAGGATGGCTGGAGCCTTGAGGGTTTAGCTCAGGATTTTGACTCTATCCAGCAAGCAGTTGGGGAAGAAAGGCAGTGCCTGCAGGCAAGGTCAGGAAGAGGGCTGATACTTGGGGTTCACCCTCATGGCAGTCACGCCTGAGCTGTAGGAATGGATAGGGCCAGCAAGAGAGAGAGGCTTGAGTGAGAAGAGGGACCAAGACCTTTAGAGTTTTGGAGGCAGCAAAGGGGAGAAAGAGAAGCAATCACAAAGAATCCTGGAGAATGCCAGGGAGGAGTAAATTTCAAGACGGGGGAAGAATGAGCAATAAATCCAGTGCTTCAGAGAGAACCAGGAGGGGGAGGACTGAGAGGAACTCTGGGTTATTGGTAACTGCCCAGGGTAGTGGACCACTTGTGCAGGGGGCAGGTTCAGGCCAAGCGGATTGCTGGATCCATATAAACCTCTGGGCTCTACCCAAGGTTATAAAGGGAGGCTGAGAGGTTTGGTGCCTGCCCCAATTTAGGATATTTAGCATCCTTCTATGAGGAAGAGCACCAGGGCCCAAAGGCTATGATGGGAGTAGCAGAATCGTGTCCACACTAACATGCTTCCACTTAGACAGTCTCATAGAAGATGAGGGAGTTTC